CAAGGCAAGTGAGAAGCAGAGGTGGTTTGCCATGGCCTTCCTCTGCAGAGTCTTCCTTGGTGGTCGCTCATCCAAGCCTTACGGTGACCACAGCAAGGTACTTCCAAGGCAAGTGAGAAGCAGAGGTGTTTTGCCATTGCTTTCCTCTGCAGAGCCTTCCTTGGTGGTCGCTCATCCAAGCCTTATTGTAACCACCACAAGGGACTTCCAAGGCAAGAGAAGCAGAGGTGGTTTTCCATGGCCTTCCTCTGCAGAGCCTTTTTTGGTGGTCTCTCATCCAAGCCTTATGGTGACCCCAGCAAGGGGCTTTCAAGGCAAGTGAGAAGCAGAGGTGGTTTGCCATGGCCTTCCTCTGCAGAGCCTTCCTTGGTGGTCTCTCAGCCAAGCCTTATGGCAGCTCCAGAAAGGAGCTTTCAAGGCAAGTGAGACGCAGAGGTGGTTTGCCATTGCCTTCCTCTGCAGAGAGGTGGTTTGCCATTGCCTTCCTTTGCAGAAGCCGTCCTTGGTGGTCTCCCTTCCAAGTACCAACCCTACTTAGCTTCCAAGATCTGATGAGACAGGGGCACAGAGAGCAGAGCTTGTGAGGCAGAACTTAGCTGGTGGGACGGGCAAAATTTCACTCATTGCCAGTAGAACACAACAAGTGGGGACCACAAGAAACTTACGGGGAGGGAGTATTCCCCTACTTTTGCTTCCTTCCCTCTCCCCCATCTTCCCCTTTCTTTATCTCCCCAAGCCAATCTCCCTTCTTTTTCTTTCCAACCCTCCTCCAAGCGAATCCCTCCTTCTGTGTTGTTCTTTTTCTCTCTTCCCCAAGCTGATCACCCTTCTTTCTTTGCCTCCCCCCAAGTCAATACCCCCATCTCGGTGTCATGGTTAAGTGCGCGGACTCTAATCTGGAAGAACCGGGTTTGATTCCCCACTCCTCCACTTGCACCTGGCTGGATGACCTCGGGCAAGCCGTAGTTCTGATAAGAGCTGTCCTTGAAAAAAGAGCAGTTTCTGTCAGAGCTCTCTCCGCCCCACCTACCTCACAGGGTGTCTGTTGTGGGGAAGGGAAAGGGGTTTGTAAGCCGCTCTGAGACTCCCTTGGGTAGTGAAAGGCGGGGTATAAATCCAATCTCCTCCTCCTCCTCTTCTTCTTCCTCTTCTTCTTCCTCCTCCTCCCCCCACAAGCCAATCCCCCTTCTTTCTCCCTCCCTCTTTTTTCCTACCTTTGAGTCCGGCAGCAGTGCCAGTGCGTGGGAGTCTGTCCCAGCGTTCCCTGCTGTTGTGGCTCTGCCCGGAGTCTCTGCTGGTGTTCCGCACCACCACAGCTGGGCCTGGAACCTCTCCTGGCATTCCCCACCACCGCAGCCAAGCCCAAAGCAGCTCCTGGGGTTCCCTGCTGCTGTTGCTGAGCCCGGAGCCTCTCCTGGCATTCCCTGCCGGCATGACTGGGCCCGGAGTGGCTCCCGGCACTCCCTGCCCCTGCAGCTGGGCCCGGATCGGATCCCCAGAAGCAGCAGCAGCCAGGCCCTCAATGCACAGACAATGCTTTTTATTGGGTGGGGTTTTTTTTAAAAAAAAACCCATTGTATTTTTTTTTATTTTTCACATTGTTTTCAGATTTTTCTGCAAACCTAGGGGGTCACCTTGGTTGGGGTAAGTATGCCCCCAATTTGTTGGAGAAATGTCCAAAACCTAGAAAAGAAAGAAAAAACTAAGAATTAATAGCAAATCTGATAGCAATCGCACGTATTCTTATTGCTTCTAGATGGATAGACAAGAAGCCTCCATCACTTACACAATGGTATGATCGAATAATGGGAATATTTTATATTGCAAAAGATTTCATTTAATTTAACAAACTCATCGCCAGAAAATTATAACCAAAAAGTAGTTGCAATATGGTACCCAGTTATAAGCTTTACGCTTGAAAAAGAGATTATCCCAGATAATCCACAGTATCAGAAGGTGATTTATTTCTGAATGGTATTTTTATTTGAAGTTGAATGTAGAAAAGTTACTGTTTTAGACGTGTATGTATGTATGTAAGAAGCTACGGTAATCACGAGTTATACTGTAATTCTTAAGTTGTAATATTTGAATGTTGTTAATTAAAAATAAAAGTATGCCCCCTATTTGCAGATTTAGATACCTGCATATAGGGGGACTGTTGAGAATTAGATGTATAGATGAATTTGCCAGATGGGGAGGTGTCTCAGCTGCTGGCAGAACCATGTGGCTTCAGAGTCTTTGACCCTGGTCACGCAGCCCGCATTTTACGGTGGTTACGTATCTGCTTGTTTATTCCGAACTCTGGATCCTTGGCTCCTCCCAGCCAAGGATCCAGCTATTTAAAATGGCTAACAATAAACGGACGACAAAATTACAGTAAGACACGTTACAACTACAAGACAGCTATGGCACCGAAAAAGAAAAAAGAATCACCTCCCAAGGCGTTTCAATCAAGGGCCCTTCAATACAGATCGAGATAACCTTTGCAGCCACAGGAATCAATAACTCATTTTCAGCCAAGCGCCCTTCGGAAGCAAGGCACTCTTGCCCGTTTGGCGGAAGGCCCTCAGGGAGGGGACAGTCCTGACGTCTTCTGGGAGGCTGTTCCCGAGGGAGGGGCTGTTGGGGGGGGGAGACGGTGGCACATTGGAAACAGATGGAGCGGGGAGATAGCACTTGTTGACAAGCGGGAGTCTGGGAGAGCCGTGCTTGAATCTGCAGGAGGATTTCCATGGGCAGAAGGGATATTGGCATCAGTGACGTGCAACTTCTTTGCCTCCCCCCTCTCACAGCCCCAAATGCCCACCCAAATGGTGCTCCCGGAGGACAGCAGATCCCCAGGAACAGCATGAGGGGCGAATTGGGGGTCTGCGGCATGTGGGGGGGGGATTGGCAGAAGTCCTTCCATTTGCAGAAATCCTTCCATCTGCGGAGAACTTCCCTTACATCCAGGCTCTAGATTCAAATCCTCCCATTGCCTTTAATTTATTTACTTAGTTACTCTATCTATATCCCGTCTTTCTCTCCAAGTGGGGACCCTACGTGGTTCACGCCGTTCTTGACACCTCCGTTTTATCCTCACAACAATCACCCTATGAGGTCGGTCAGGCTAAGAGAGTGAATGGCCCAGGATTGTCCAGCGAGCTTCCATAGCCAAGTGGAGATTCGAAACTGGGGCTCCCAGATACTAGCCCAGCACTATATCCACTGGACCACACTGGGTCTCACCACAGTAGGGACAAGACAATCTAGTAGTGAATTATTGAGGAAGTGCAGTGAGAGCCAGTGTAGTGTAGTGGTTAGACTGTCCGTCTAAGATCTAGGAGACCCGGGTTCGAATCCCCACTCAGCCATGGAACCTTGCTGGGTGACCTTTGGCCCGTCACACATTCTTGGGGCCTATCACAGAGTTAGGGTCTGCCGTAAACTGCTTCTGGTCTTCATCGGGGAGAGAAACTGGGTGTAAATATATTGTCTGCATGGAAAAGCCAGTTGAAAACAATTGCTATAGTGTAACAGTAGGCATGTATTTAACAATGGATCCCAGTGCTAGGAGGCAACATCATGGGAAGGCCTTGGCGTCTGTGCCCTGTTGTTGGCCCTCTAGAGGAACTGGTTGGCCACGGTGTGAGACAGGATGCTGGCCCAGATGGACCACTGGTCTGATCCAGAAGGTCTTTTCTTATGTTGTTCTGAAGGCCTTGGCGTCTGTGCCCTGTTGTTGGCCATCCAGAGGAACTGGTTGGCCACTGTGTGAGACAGGATGCTGGACTAGATGGACTATTAGTCTGATCCAGGAGAACTCTTCTCATTTTCTTAGGATGGTGGCCTAAATGGACCACTGGTCTGATCCAGCAGGGCTCCATCCAAATTATGTTTCACAAGATGTGTTACACAAGGGCTGTGGTTCAGTGGTAGAGCCTCTGCTTGGCATGTAGAAGGTCCCAGGTTCAATTCCTAGCATCTCCAGTTAAAAGAACCATGTAGGAGGTAACACAAAAGACCTTTGCCTGAGACCCTGGAGAGCAGCTGCCCGTCTGAGTAGACAATACTGACTTTGATGGACCAAGGGTCTGATTCAGGCAGATTCACGTGTCCATGGTGTGCTCCATAGAATCGATCGTTAGCCTGAAAGAGCACTTTCCCCTCTTTGCTAACTTTCATAAGAACATAAGGGAAGCCATGTTGGATCAGGCCAATAGCCCCTCCAGTCCACTGTGTTGCACAGTGGCCAAAACCCAGGTGCCATCAGGAGGTCCACCAGCGGGGCCAGAACTCCAGAAGCCCTCCCACTGTTGCCCCCTCCCCAAGCACCAAGATGACAGAGCATCAATGCCCCAGACATAGTCTTCCATCTATACCTTGTGGCCAATAGCCACTGATGGACCTCTGTTCCATATGTTTGTCCCTCCAGGTGGCGCTGGAGATGCTGTTCACAGGGGAGCCCATAACAGCTCGGGAGGCCCTTCTTCACGGGCTTGTCAGCCGGGTGGTCCCAGCAGAGAAGCTGGAAGACGAGACCCTGAGAATCGCCCGAAAAATATGCGAGAGCAGCCGCTCCGTCTTGGCCCTGGGGAAAGCCGCCTTTTACAAGCAGATGGCTCAAGACGTTGAGACGGCCTACCGGACGACAGCGAAGGTCATGGTGGACAATCTCGCCCTGGAGGACGGACGAGAGGGGATCGAGGCCTTCCTCTGTAAACGCAAGCCCACCTGGTCCCCTTGAACATCCTGGGGGGACAGATCACACTCGAAAGCCATATCCGACCATAAAAAGGGGTCTGGGGGATTCCCACAGGCCAGTCCCTTCTCTCTATGAAAACCACAGGACGGTTTGCGTCAGGCGATCCCTCGTACAAACAGGAGAACCTGCTCCAAATGGCGTGTTTGTGCGCTGCTGTTTTGTCACTTAATACACCTTCGTTTGGTAATGCGTCAGAGTACAGTTTCATTTGGGGAAGTTTATCTGCGGCAAAAATCCAAGCAGCCCCCAGAACCCCTTTGCAGAACGTCTCTTGAAGGAGTGGCGGTGAGCCCTCTGAGACTCCGTTCCTTGCCTAGAGAGGCCCTGACTTTGTGGAGGGGATGGAATGGATTTCAACAGGGGTCATTTCGTAGAAGAAGCGGTGCAGGAGCTCATTAGCATAACTCATTAGCATAACTTATTTGCATATGCCACACCCTCTGACATCACCGGAAGTGTGTCAGAAGGCAACACCCACTGCTCAGGCTCCACTGGACTGATTTGGATTGCTAGCTATTTTGGGGGGGGGAATGTGCAGATCTGTCCTTGCAGGGGAGGGAGAGCCTGTACCTGAATAAAACTTGGCCTTAAAGGTGCCACTGGACTGTTGGGGGCCGGGGGGGGGGCTTTGCAACTTACCTGGCTGCTTCTTGCTCTGTCTGAGGGCTGCTGGGAGCAGGGGGTGGGGCTTGTTGCATGTGCCCGCCCCCTGGGCTCTTTACTGCCGGAGCTCCGCTCCTGTGCGCTCCCGCAGGAAATGACCCCTGGATTTCAACCTGGTTTTGCTGTCAAGGCTTTCTCTGGAGGAGCCCAGCAATACCCTGAGCAATCCTGTTACTCAGCACTCCACTGGGTGGCAGCAGAGGGTCAGAGAACAGGCCTGAGAAGCCGCTGATCTCAGTGGCAGGGAAGTCTCTCTTAGTGGAAAGTGCTGTCCAGTTACGGTGCCCATGCAAGGTTTTCAAGGCAAGGGACGAACAGAGGTGGTTTGCCACTGTCTGCCTCTGCGAAGCAACCCTGGACTTCCTGGGTGGTAAAGGTAAAGGTCTCATTTGCTCGAAAGCCAGTCGAATCCGACTCTAGGGATGCGTTGCTCATCTCCGTTTCCAAGCCGAAGAGCCAGCGCTGTCCAAAGACTTCTCCATGGTCATGTGGCCGGCATGACTAGACGCCGAGGCGCACGGAACGCTGTTACCCTCCCACCGAAGCGGTACCTATTTATCTACTTGCAATTTCTTGCTTTCGAACTGCTAGGTTGGCAGGAGCTGGGGCCAGAGACGGGAGCTCACTCCGTCATGCGACACTCGGGTCTCGAACTGCCGAACTACAGACCTTCCGGTCTGCAGCTCAGCGTCTTAACCACTTGAGCCACCGCGGCCCTTTCCTGGGTGGTCTCCCGCCCAAATACTAACCAGAGCTGAGTCAGCTTAGAGAGAACACTGGGAGGGATATCTGTGTGCAAAGTCCATTAGATATTTATTTACATTATTTGTAATCGGCCTTTCTCACTTGGACACAAGGCAGATCGCACGGAGCGAGTCGACACAATTGACGGGCGGGAAGAAGAGAGCCAGTTTGGTGTGGTGGTTAAGTGCACGGACTCTAATCTGGGAGAACCGGGTTTGATTCCCCACTCCTCCACTTGCACCTAGCTGGATGACCTTGGGCAAGCCGTAGTTCTGATAAGAGCTGTTCTTGAAAAAGAGCAGTTTCTGTCAGAGCTCTCTCAGCCCCACCTACCTCACAGGGTGTCTGTTGTGGGGAGAGGAAGGGAGTTTATAAGCCGCTCTGAGACACTTTCGGGTAGTGAAGGGCGGGGTATAAATCCAATCTCCTCCTCCTCCTCCTCCTCCTCCTCC